GCACGTACCTTGGTTGCAGGTTCCCCAGCCCTGATCAGGGTGCTATACAGGAGGCAACCAATGGATGTGCCTCTCTCGCATCGATGTTTCCCTCTGTGTCTCTCCCTCTTCCTTCCACTCTCTCTAAAAATCAATGGAAAAATATCCTCGGGTGAGGTTAGCTGACTTAACAAGCCACCGAGCGGCCCCCACGTGCAAGGCTGTCCTTGCTGCTCCCACCTCCCGGAGATTTTGATTGTCGTGTGGGGTTTGGAAAGGCGCAGAGGAGCAGGGAACCTGAGTTGGGGCCAGAGCTGTGGGCTCCCGTGCTGTGTCCTTCCCGAGGGGCCCCAGGCGCCATGACTTCTGTTTGTACAGCTCTCGTGGCCAATCATGGTGAGGATTTGAGTTGCTGGCCCTGCCGTCTGGGACAGAGAGGGCTGTAGTGTTTGAGACAAGATGGATCTGGGGGGTCAGGATGGGGACACGGCAGGTTCTAAGAAGCTAGTCACCAATCCCCAAGCCTGTCCCTGCGCTCCAGAGGCTCACAGTCACTAGGACAGCCCTGCAGCACCAGCCCTTCTTTCTCAGCCCTCGGGCCCACTGGCGCTGAGTCACACGCCCAGCTTGTTCACAGGTGCGTTCCTGGTGACCTTTGGCAGGAGGCACGGGTGTCCCCGCCTCAGCGGGTGGCGGCCACACTGCACCTGGAATGATACGTCCCCGGGACGCGTTAGACATGCCCTGCCATGCTTTGCTCTCATTTCCATTTTACAAGGGGGGGGGCGGGGGGCACTGGACTTGGAGGGGAAGGAGCTTTGCCTGTCACCCAGCGGGCAGAGCAGAGCCCGGATGGAGGGCAGGTCTCACTCCCAAGCTGGTTTCCTACCCCCTGACCTCCTCATTAGCTGGGCAGAAACCAACACTGCAAACTGGGCCGATGACCGGGAAGGCAGAGCAGAGGGGTCAGAGCTCAGAGGAAAAAGAGGCCCAGGGGCTGCGGAAGGGGAGTCCCCGGGCTGCAGGGGGGGGGGGGGGTAACGCCGGACTGGATCCCTCTCTCCAAGGCTCTGGCTGCAGAGTAAACGCCGCCCAGCGGAGGCCCGGGTGGGGGTCAGTGTCAGCGCCTGCGCCTGAGTCACTTCCTGGCCATTGCCTAAGAGGCTCCAGCCGCAGCCCAGTGGCTGCTGTGCCCTCGCAGGATTGCAGCCACTTGGGCAATGAGCACTTCCCTGGTATTCCTCACCTCCTGGGGTGGCCTCTGCCACTCAGGTTTGCAAGACACAACAGCGAGGCTCAGGCCCGTCCCCACCCTGGAGACCGGGATCCTCGGCCCAGAAGGAAACCAAGTCTCCGGACAGTTCTCTCCTGTCTGCGCCCTGTCTGTTCCAACTTGAGAATTGGGGTTCCTTCCACCCCAAAGGTCTGAGCCTCTCCCGTCCTCCCAGGCACCCAGCGCCTTCCCTTCTCCTCCCACAGGGTCTCAGGGCCAGAGTCAGGGGCGGGCAGGGAGGGGGTGGGAATGTCAGACACCGGGACAGCACGTGCTGAGGGAGACATGCCTGTTTGAGCAGCCGAGATGTCCTCACGATGTGCGAGGGCAGATGACTTCAGACACCGGCCACTTCCTTCGAGGGCCAAGGCCTCTCAACCCAGAGACACAGCACAGCCCCGGGGCCCAGAGCCTGGATGTTAAAGCTGGGATGTGCCAGCTTAGTCAACCAGCTGTGTGACCTTCAGCAAGTTACTTAACCTCTCTGTTCATCAGGTTCCTCACCGGTAAAATGAGGATAACAACAGTACTGACTCACAGGCCTCTCACCAGGATCCAGGCAGTTGTGTATGTAAAACACTAGGAATGATGACTGGCCAATGGCAAACACTAGTGTTCATTACATAAATATTTTTTAACTTCTAATGGGCTGACTCTTCCATTCATTCTCCATGTTTTTTATATGCTACTGTGTGCCAGATACAAACAAGACTGATTCCCTGCCTGCACTGCCTGTTGGGTATTTCTGTGGGACCCCTGCGCCCCTCCCCCACAATGGTCTTCTGGCCGGTGGTGCTGTGGGGCTTCGTGGGCGCGGCTGTGGCACCAGGTGTGAGGCCTCCTTAGGGAGGCCCCCAGCTCCCTGAAGGCCGAGGGCAGGTCCCTTTCCTCCCTCAAGCCACCTTCTCTCTATTTGACAAAGTGGTCCCCACCCCTTCCTCAGCCCCATTTCCAGGCCAGCCAGGGTTTGGACAAGTCAGGCTGGGCATCTGGACTTCTTATAGCCATCCTCTGCCCCCTCCCCTGTTCCTGGGAGGCTCTGTGATTCTTTTTTAAATATATATGTTTTTTATTTAAGAGAGGAAGGGAGGGGGAGGGAGAGAGAGATAGAAACATCAGTGATGAGAGAGAATCATCAATCGGCTGCTTCCTGCGTGCCCCACACTGGGGATCAAGCCTGAAACCCAGGCACGTGCCCTGACAGGGAATGGCACTGTGACCTCCTGGTTCATAGGTTGATGTTCAACCACTGAGCCACACCGGCTGGGTAGGCCTCTGTGATTTAATTTGAGCACAGAATTCTCTCCATGCTGCACAAGCCACCAGACACAGGTGGCGGAGGCCCTGGGCCATGAGGAGGCTCGCAAAAACTGTTCAAAACAACATTTCAACCTGGACTGGATAGCTGCTGATTACAGAATTTCTGTTATTCATTTTAGGTGTAAAAATGATCTTGTGGTATGTTTTTAAAATAATCCTTATCTTTTAGAGATACAAAAATATTTATGGCTGAAATGATGACACCTGGTTTTGTTTCAAAATAATGAGGGAGGAGGGATGTAGATGGAATGAAAGTGACAAGGAGTCGATGTAGTTGTTGCAGCTGAGGATTTGGGTCATGGACCCTCACCATCAGTGTGGCCCAGAGACCCTCTGAGCCTGGAGCCGGTTAGAAACGCAGAATCTT